TTCAGATCAGCTGATACACTTCTCTATGAAGGAGAGACATCCTAGATGCTATATTCACTTGGCCTCCTGTGCTGAAATGTATTTGTTGACAGTAGTTTATCTCTGAAGCTTTTAGATAGTCATTAAAATGATTAGTTCTGATCCATTTAGGGTACTGAATCCCATCAATTCTTTATAATGAGGATCCATTACCTTGTACGTTTGTGCACTGCTGCAGTGATAGATTCTTACTTGTTATGGGAGTTTATAAAAGCTACAGCCATGTAAATGTAAAAGGCCTTGGTCATTATTAAATATCTCATATCCCACAAATCTTGCCTTTCCCAGACCTTCATGGCAATAAAACAACTCTGCTCTATATCATAGTCATTATTATCTTTGTGGTTTGCAACTGACTTTGAATCAAAACAAAGAACAAAGCAGTTGTGTCCTCTCAGTCTGCCCTGTTTGCAGTGAATGCCATTTGGTGCTTTGAGTCAGAACGTCCTGGTGACCTTCACAGTGCTCTCCAGGCAGAGCACAAGACCTTAACCGGGGCAATAAGGAAGCATGTGCTACTGATCAGAGTTGGATTTTATGATAGCAATTTCTTCTCAGCCAAAAGCCTATTGCTTTTATACTGGTTAGATGTGTGTGTACACACATGCTTGAATATATCGTTTATGTTGTTGTATTTGTCGTACATTTACTATATGTACTAACAGTTATTACATTTCTATACCCAGTGAGACTCAAATTAAAAAAACTAAACAAAAATACACTTTCTGACCTTTTTTTTCCCCACAAAATAGGAATATAACAGAGCCACATATGTATTATCAGCAGCCTTTCTCTATTAATCATTTTGGGTTAGATGCTGAAACAAAAATACACTTTCTGACCTTTTTTTTCTCCCAGGAATAGGAATATAACAGAGAGCCACGTATGTATTATCAGCAGCCTTTCTCTATTCATCATTTTGGGTTAGATGCTATTCCAACTTTTGGGTTCAGTGAGCTTACCTGCCATCCACCACCCTTACACAAGTGTCAGGTCCTTAAGTGAAGCTGCTGTTGCCTTTATTGATCCATGTTGAGTTCACTGTAATAAAAGGCATTTCAACATCCTTTAAACAGATTGTATGGAACCCTAACTTGTTCTTCTGCGTTAATACCTAATTAATATCTTGAATACAAGCCTGGATGCTTCTGGTGTTAAACCTCTCTTTCTAAAAGGTTCCATGTGTTCTTGAATACAAGCCTGGATGCTTCTGGTGTTTCTAAAAGGTTCCATGTGGTGTACAGCAAATGTCTTATGAGGTTATTTTTAGTTCAGCCACATATTCTGTGTGTTTTGTTCTAGGTTTTTAATATACAATAAGTTTATTTTGGTCTAAATGACTGGTTTGCAAGAGTGGACTGTTTAACACTTTCTATTCTGGATGAGAAAATGAATTTATTAAATATTTTTATGCAAGCAACTGACAGTTACTCAGATGTCATGAGACCTCCAATAGGAGGTGAGAATGTCCTTTTTTGTGCTACAGTCTTAATTTTCCATTCATGTTATGTTCATGAAAAGTGGTTTCTCTTGGCCCTACCTGCTGCTTAAATAGCAGTATTTATTTGGAATGTTAGAGTGGTATCCAATAAGCTTGCTGAGCACAAAATAATTTTCTTTGATCTTAATTTTCTCTCTTTATGCTTAGATTGGCTTGAAGTGACCTTAATCATTGAAAAATGGCTGTCACAGATTCTTTCCGTAACATGCAGAAAATAATCATTACCTATTCTTTATACAGTAGGGATTTATTTCCCTTCTTGCTCTTATATCTTGAATTTTGAAGACAGTTTATCAGGAAAGATATACTGTTCCTTCTGTGAATGGAAAAGAAAATGTTGTATGCTTGTTAAATCTGAGGAGAGATGAGTAATACTGTTCCTTCTGTGAATGGAAAAGAAAATGTACACTTGTTAAGTCTGAGGAGAGATGAGTAACCAGTTGAATTCTGTGAACAGTAGCAGGCACTGCTGAGCAATTTTGTGTCAAGTTTTATTTTATTGTTTTGCCATTTTTTTCTATCCAAGCTGTTATGTATTCACACACATACAAAAGGCAGAGTAAGAAATAATATTTTAATATTTCTTTAATTCAATTGTTACAGCAAAGTTACATTGTCTTTTTTACAGAAGGAAGAAGGATGATGTTCTACTTAATGCTGTGCTGGTACTGAGATGTAGCATTTGCTCTTAGATCTACCATAGACACATTAACCCTGAAACAATATAACTCTTCTTTGTCTCAGTTATCTTAACATATAAGCAATACTTGCCAGGAGATGTTTGACTAAATAGCATGTGGAAGGTATTAAAAAGAACAGTCAGTCTTCCCCAGTCAGGTCTTTGAATGATGGAAAAACAGCCACCAGTTGAGCCCACAGCCACAGGGTCAAGGTCTTGTAGATGGAAAATAAATAGTTATGCGAAGTCCATAATAGAAATAAGTGAAAATTATTTTACTACATCTAATGTCTGTGAGCTTTTTTCACTGCTAGTTTCTGTGTTAAGAGCAGTGTTTAGTTCTCTACTTTAGCAAGAAAATACTTTATCTGTTGCGTTTTAAGAAATTATGGAATTACTTCTGTCAAGATTAATGCAGGAATATGGCAATTTCCACAGGCCTGTAAAATTGTCACTCATATATGAAAAGTGCCTTATTTACTTGAGTAAGCCACCATTTGCTTTTTTGCATTTTTAAAATAGTTATTTATGGCTGCTTTTTACTTGAATGCCTCTGAATTTAAAAAGAAATGTTATGATGAGCAAAAACCTCCTTAAAATGCTTAGGTGATTAGCATAGTTTGACAGTCTTATGAGTGGAATAAAGAGCTCTGCACCATACCTGAAAATACAACAAATATGGGGGTGACTGACAGAAAGGAACAAATCCAAACATTGAGGGTTTGTCAAAAAATATCCAGCTAGCACTTTGGAGAAGCAAGAGCTCAAGGGCTCCTGCTCATCATGAGTCTGACACTATGTATTGGGAAGAGATTGTTCTCCCAAGTAGCCAACATCAAAGTTGATCTACTGACTTTTAGGTTTTTAATTCCTTTAATTTGGGTCTTACCTGCTCACACTTTTATGTTTAACTTGTATTTTTAACAGAATATTTTCATTAGCTTTATTCAAAGAGTGTGAACACAGTGTGGAGTTGATGGCCATCCCTTTCCATTGTGTTCTGTATCACATTAGACCTTCAATGTGATTGTAACATTCTTATTCTCAAGTAGTTTGTTTGGGTCTTCTAGCATTGTAGGTATGATAGGATCAAACCCAGGTGAGGAGTTGCACATACATCTTGCTCTCTGCATCACAAAAAAACCCCAGAAAAACCAACAAACCCAAAAGATCAACTATTTGAAGTGTTGTGATATAAAAACATGTGGTGAACTATGTCTTCTGTCAGTAGTGTCTCTGAAGCTATGTGTAGGTTGAGACTGGAGCATGGACAGCAAGACCATTATGGATGAGTCTGGAATAGGAGAAAGAAACTGAGAGTGTTGGAAATTAGGACCTAGTTTGAAGCTGGGAGAAAGAGCTACAACTCTACGAGAATTGAGTGGCTGACAAAAGCTGAGCAAGAAGTACTTTAAGAGCATTGGGACATAATGTCATGAGTGTAGTAAATGGACTTGTGGAATGGTAATGGGGAGTGCTAGGGCAGAAGGATTTGGGAGGCTTTTAGTTTTGATCTTCCAGTGTTGGTCTATAGAGTTGTTGCAGCTGTTGATAAAATGGACAGTAGGACTGCATGCATGCTTTCCAGAAACATCAGTTTCCTACTGTGGTGCATCAGAACAGGATGACTCATTTGAGGTGTTGCCCACATTCACCAAATGGACCCATCAGTTCTTATGGTATAGAGTATGAGATGCTGTAAAATGTTTCTTCAATGATAAGGACCACTGAACATTTTGTTTAAATTGTTTGGTTTATTTTATGTAACTGAGATCTGATCTGGAAAATATTATATGGCTATAATGCAGTTATTTGAGTGAAAAATTGCTTTCAGATATCTAGCCCAAGACTACTCCTTGAAACCATTTTCAAAACACTGGTGCTTATATACTTAAATTATAGCTGCTGTGGGCAGATTGGATTATACCCAACCTAAAATTTTACCTTAATCTGATTATGTTTTACCAAAGCTGGGAAGGAGCATCAGCTGTCAGGTCCCCTTTCTTGACATATGAGAGCTTTACTAATGATGGTTCATAAACCGTGTGATCAGAAGTGCTCTGAAGGAGCTACAGTTCCTTATGTCATGTTTACTGAACAGTAATGATGGAGAACACTGTAGCCTTTGCAGTATGTCTCCTTAAATTTTCTTCTAGTGCTTCTGAACAAAATGGTGAAATAACCTCTACACACCTTGCTGTCAAATACAGAAGGAAAGAAACTACAGGAATAAAGATTAGTAAATATTTGTACTTATTCTGTTGGAAAGTGGGTAGTTTTAAGAAGTTGTTTTCAAAATAATAGAAACATCTGAAATAACTAGAGTTTGTGTCTGCAGTCTTTCAGAGCTTGGTGATCCTTAGTGGCCATATCTTCTTCCTTGTGAATCTGGGAAACATTGTCATCCCACCTACAGGAACTGAAACCTAGTTAGGAAGTGACACAAACTCAGTGTGTTGTCTGAGATCACACAGAATATCTGCACAGAGCAGGGAACTGAACTAAGGATTCTCTAGGTCTGTGCCTGATTTGTAATGACTGTTTAATCCTTTGGGCTCCAGTTTTAGCACTGCTTGTATCTTCTTTTATGATTCTTCCCCATTTTTGAGGGGGGAAAAGACTGAGGTGGTGTTTGTAACTCTCAAACTGACAGACTAACCTAATTCTTGTGAAGCTCTTAATATTTTCTGAGAACCTCACAAAAATGAAATTAGATGTTAGCATTTTATGGCCAAGTCAATATCTTAATACCATAATTGGATTTGCGTTAATGTATTTTAGGTCTCCTATGTGATTAGAGATGAAGTGGAGAAATACAACCGGAATGGGGTAAATGCACTTCAGTTGGATCCAGCATTAAATAGACTCTTCACAGCAGGTCGAGACTCTATTATAAGGATATGGAGTGTCAATCAGCACAAGGTAAGTCAAGAGAGGATTGCTACATCTAAACCTACATCTTTCCAAGTTATCATTGTAGGAGGCTGTCTACTTGTGTGTATGTATGTACTCTCTTGTAACAGCTGCCAATTATTATGGTGGAAAAATAATTTTGATGTTGCTCATATTGTAACAAAATATGTGAGATTTTACCAATCTGCATTTAGGCTTATCCTCCAAAGAGCTAGTCACAGCTGAAGGAAAAAAGGTAAACATAGAATGATGTCATTTCCAGTGATAAAGGAGGCATAGAAACAGTCATTGGGGCTGTGTATATTCTGTTAGTAATGAACATACATTTTGGTGGATTGTTAACTTTGGTCAAGGAGTATTTTCTATATTCTGATGTTCTGGGAGAATAATAGGTTGTCTTCTTCCCTTTATTGTTGACCCTGATTTAAAGGAAAAAAAAGAAATACTGATCTACAAGTATAGACTTGGCAACCTGTGCCAGTGCTCAGGCACCCTCACAGTCAAAAAGTGTTTCCTGATGTTCAGAGGGAACCTCCTGTGTTTCAGTTTGTGCCCATGGCCTCTGGTCCTGCCACTTGCCACCACTGAAGAGACCCTGTCTCTTCCCTTTTTAAACTCTCCCTTCAGGTATTTGTATACACTGATGAGGTCCAACACCCCTCCAGTGCCTTCTTTTCTCCAACAGTCCCAACTCATTCAGCCTTTCTTTATAGGAGAGATGCTCCAGTCCCTTCATCATTTTTATGGTGCTTCACTGGACTCTCTCTCCACTGTGTCCACATCTGTCTTCTTCTGGGGAGCCCAGATGTGGAACCATTGTTCCAGATGTGCCTCCCCTGGTGCTGAGCAGAGGAGAAGGATCACCTTTCTCGACCTGCTGGCTATGCTTTACCTAACTCAGCCCAGGATACCATCACCTTCTTTATCTCAGGGGCACATTGCTGGCTTATGTTCATCTTGGTGTCCACCAAGACCCCCTGGTCCTTTTCTACCAAGTTGCTTTCCAGGTGCATGGCCTCCAGTGCATATGGGTATCTGGGTCCTGCTAAACAGAAGGCCAGTGTTTGGAACTTGAGCAGATTACTGGAAACCATTGCTTCCATGTGGAAGGTGCAAAATGTAAAACGTCATGAAGTTCATGACTTGGAGAAATGCTGAGAGGTCACTGGATTGTGTTTTGTTTTGCTCTTCTTCACAACATGACAGGGCCAATCCCTTTAATGAAAACCATTAGCTTGGCAGTCACTGTTGCTTTGTTTATAAGTTTTTCTGTGATACAAAACCAAAGAGTTGAAGGTGAAATAAAACATTAAATGAAATTTTGAGTTTAAAGTATATGGGAATTTGTATTTTGTGATATCTTACATAGTTGCCTAGTTCTTTTGTCTTTCAGACAAAAAAAAAGTCTGAAATAGTGACTTCAAGCACATTGATCCATTTGAAGGTGGCAGCAAATACCACAACATGATCTGATAGTCACCATCTTTTCCATTTGTGGAGAGATCTTATTTTTTTTTATTTATTTACAGCAAGACCCTTATATAGCATCTATGGAACATCACACAGATTGGGTAAATGATATTGTGCTCTGCTGCAATGGTAAAACTTGTAAGTACTGAAATGTTCGAAAGCTACAGTATTTAGAAATTCTGTATAAAAGTATATTATCTACTGCTTTAATTATTTTCCGTTTCCTTTTAGCACATAAAATGAATTTCTGGGATGTAGATTGTAAATTTGGTAAATAATGTATGCAGGTGTTTTACTGAAAAACAAAATGTTCAGATATGATTCTTTTAATCTTTTTGAAAAGAAAATTAAGGAGTAGTATGAATGTGCTCTACATTAATAAATAGTCCATTGAGGTTTACTCTTTATTCTTTCCAATTTAGTGATATCTGCTTCTTCAGATACTACTGTTAAAGTTTGGAACGCACACAAGGGATTTTGCATGTCAACACTAAGGACACATAAGGTAAAAAACATGATCTGTAAATACTATATAGCATCCTCCACAGTCTCTTAAATATTAAAATGTAGCCTTCCAATGGATAATATTGTTGATTCATGTTATATTTACTTTATTGTAGGATTATGTGAAAGCTTTAGCATATGCAAAAGATAAAGAACTGGTGGCATCTGCTGGGCTGGACAGACAGATATTCCTCTGGGATGTAAATACTCTAACAGCACTGACTGCCTCAAATAACACCGTAACAAGTAGGTACTCAAGGAGGGGAGGCAAATGAAACACATTTTATTGAGTAGAATAATCTGAGATCAATTTAAGACTGTAGATAACCAGTTTCTATGTGTACATTAAAAGTCTTACACTGGTTTTAATATGTACTCATTGAAATTATATGATAGCTGAAAAGCTAGAGCACCCAACAGTCATGGCACTTAGAGGACAGGCCTCTCTGAACATTTTTTTCCAAAGTGAAATGTGTTGGTGTTCTCTGAAAGGTGACAGAGTTCTAGGTTTAGAAGCTCTTTGCTCCTCAACTAACCTCTCTCTATAAATTTTCCCTTAGGCTATTTGTCAGTACATTTTATGGATATTATAATTTGATTGGATTAGGGTGTTTTTTATTTTACTTTTTTGTTTATATAGATACTGTAAAAAATGCAGTATCTCTCCTAAAGTAGAACTTGGTACTTTTATCTAATCTGTGTGCCAGAATAATAAAGTTAGTAGATAAACTTGGATTCAAAAACATGCAAAGTGATATTAAGCACTAAGTGCACTCTCAGCCAGTTTGATGGTCACACCAAACTGCATGGTGTGGTTGACACCCTAGCAGGAAGGGATGCCACCCAGAGGGACCTTGACAGGCTGGAAAAGTGGGTCCATGCCAACCTCATGAAGTTTGACAAGGCCAAGTGCAAGGTCGTGCACATGGGCTGGGGCAGCCCCAAGCACAAATAGAGGTTGGGCAGAGAATGGATTGACAACAACCTTGAGGAGAAACCCCTTAGGGTGCTGGTTGATGAAAAGCTCAGCATGAGCTGGCATGGGTACTTGCAGCCCAGAAAGCAGCCGTGTCCTGGGCTGCATGAAAAGAAGTGTAGCCAGCAGGTCAAGGGAGATGATTCTCCCCCTCTTCTCCGCACTCATGAGACCCCACCTGGAGTGCTATGTCCAATTCTGGTGCCCTCAGTACAGGAAAGACATGGAGCTGTTGGAGGGGGTCCACAGGATGACCACAAAGATGCTCACAGGGCTGGAGCAGCTCTGCTCTGAAGACAGGCTGAGAGAGTTGGGTTTGTTCACCTGGAGAATGCTCCAGGGAGGCTTTAAAGCACCTTCCAGTACCTGAAGGGGCTACAGGAAAGCTGGAGAGGAATGTTTTACAAGGACTTGGAGTGATAGAATGCAGGGTAATTGTTTTAAGCTGGAAGAGGGCAGATTTAAGTTAGACATTAGGAAGAAATTGTTTAGTGTGAGGGTGGTGAGACACTGGAACAGGTTGCTCAGGGAAGCTGTGGCTGCCCCATCCCTGGCAGTGTTCAAGGCCAGGTTGAATGGGGCTTGAAGCGGTGTGGTCTGATGGTAGGAGTCCCTGCCCATGCAGAGGAGTTGAAACTGGATGATCTGTAAGATCCCTTCCAACTCAAACCATTCTAGGATTCTGTGATGTGATAAGCACTAGTTACATATGAGGATAGCCTGCTAGAGGGATCTCATTCACTAATTAGAGATTAGAAGGGGAAACTGTCTGTAGGCTTACCAGGGTTAATCCTTAATGTCATCATTCTTTGAAAAGTGTTCTGTCCTGCATCTCTATCCCAGTTAAGGACATTACCTTTTGAGATCTTTCCCCATAGTGCAGTTCCAGTGCTGTTTGCTTAGACTACTCAAGATAGAGCTGGTTAAATTTCTCTTCCTGGAAGTATGACAGCAGTCTTCAAATTCAGTTACATTTAATTAATTAAGCGAATAACACATCTTATTCATTATCATCCTGGGTTTTATTGCTTATTTTCCAATATATTGTTATAGAAAGAGATGTAGTTTGACCACAGTGTGTTTTGGTGCTTGTAGGAAGGTTGGAAAAACAGTGTTTCAAGTGACTGATCTTTTGTTCTACACTTAGTGTTTGATAAATGTTCAAACAGCAGCAGAGTCTCAGGTTCATTGTGTGGGAGAAAAAACTTCTTGCTACACTGCCACACTTGGATTTTCTAAATAAGGCTGCTTGCTTCCTCATTCATAGGTTAAGAATGACTCCAGAAGGATCTGCAAAAGGATAATTAGGAATTGGCACAACAGACTTTTAAGAAATTTTGGGAATATGTAGTCCTGTAAAAAAGACGCAGACGTGGAGTGGTTTTGGTGTGGTTTTTTGAATTAGACTTTGGGCTAATTCTGAAAAGTGTTTTAATTTTATGGGTGTGGTTGCTTCTAAAACTAAAGGTGCATGTGGTGGGCAGAACTGTCAGTTTTGCATAGGACTTCTGAAGTCCAGTGTAGCCTTAAGCTGGCATGTCTTTGTAGTCTTCAGAAGAGAAGGCTTGGAGTGAGCTGTGCTGGCCTGCAGGACAGTATTGGTAGCCTATGACTACACATAACTAAATAGACTTTCCTTCTATCTCCCAGAAGTTTTCTTGCCCTGAAAATAGAATTATTTTATCACCAAACTTTGATGATAACTCTAAGTTATGCTATCTTCTGCTTGAACAGGGATTTTTTGAAAAAAAGAAAATAGTTCATTTTCTGGCTCACTGGATTTTTTTGGGGGTAGAAAAAAAAAAAAGATTTCTTTAACACTTCGTCAGTAATGCACAATCTAAATGATTCAAGTGAATAATGAGTAGGAGACAGGGAGTACTGAGGAGCTGATGCTTGTTTTCAGCCCAAGATCAAATGGAAGTGGAAGCATTACCTCTAAGATGACAGAAATAAATTTGCATTTCTAGAGTTAGAACAATAATTCTTCATAAGGGGGGGAAGGGAAACTAGGGGGAGTTGTTTTTCTTTCTAGTGCTCCCATCTAACAGTGTTTCTGTAGGAAGAACACAGTTTATGTCCTTAAAGAAGCTGGTTTTCCTCATTCCTTTCAAACAGTATTGATTTCTCAATGTGCAAATGAGGAATGTTTGTAAGCATGACTTTCCTACCTGATTGTAGGGAAGCAGCAACATGAAAAGGAGCCCTGTTTTTAAAGAGCCTCTTCATCAGCATAGCCACAATTTAAATTAAGTGGAGAGATTTTGCTTTTGAGTGATAGTCCCTTCCAGAAGAGGGTGTAGTTGAGCTTTGCTTTTGTTCTTGCATAAATTTTGCTTGTGTACACTGAAGTTTCTCCCATTCCTGATCTCCAGCTTGTGATAACTGTACATTATCCTTTCATACATTATCATGGTTGTTGAACAATGTGCTAACCTTCAAGAGTTTTCAGTTCACCTTTTTATCTTTGACTATTCTCTGGGGGACACTGGTAGACTACCACTTTATTTTGGCTACAAATAATAGATTTCATTTGAAACTTTATATTTGGATAGCTATAGCTAGTGGGTAAGAGGACTCTGAAGTAAAGCTGCATAGTTCTTCACTGTGACAAAAAATTTATGATATTGGGTCACAAATACTGTGTTAGAAACTTCTTTCCATTATATACATAAATCATATTATGAAGCTTTTTGCTGGCAATGCATTTTGTTGCTATTCTCAGCCTTTTTGGCTACTGACTGAATGGTTTTGAGGCTTGATGAAGTGCCTGATGGTGCTCTCTGTATAGATGATTTTCCCGCACTTGAGGGGTTGTTACTTAAATCTGTCTAAAAGTAGATTAGCCTTGATGGTATAGAAGTCCTCAACTCTGATGGCAGTTGTGATGCTAAGGAGTTGCCATGTGTTTTTCCCAAACAAAGGCAGCATCCCTGCTCAAGTAACACTTTTCAACACTGCAGTGTAACTTAAGTAATCACCTCTGCTGAACTAAAAGAGCCTTCAACATATAATGTAGAATTTTACTGCTCAGGTTGGAAAAAAAATCTTTGCATTTAAATCGAAATACTGTGTATAAGAACACATACAAGTATCATTCTCTAATAAGTACCTCAAGAGTCCTGGCACTGAATTGTGGTACCTGAAGGGCACCAGGATTGTAATGATCATAAGTCTGAGGGGTTACTTTGTGTTTTTCAACAACAGATTAAGAATCAGGGTGGGGTTTTCCTGGCAATATGCTGGTTTATAGTCTTTGTGTTTTTTTAAAGCAACTCTTTATATGGGGCGAAGTGGCACTATTTTCATGGATCAAAGGGTATTAAAATCCCATAAAATACTGTTTCTGAGTGAGTAAGTATGTTTTTCAAATGACATCACTGAAAGGGGAAATGTCAATTTTATTTTACAATAGCTTCTTCCCTGAGTGGGAACAAAGACTCTATCTACAGCCTTGCGATGAATCAAATGGGAACAGTTATTGTATCAGGGTCCACTGAAAAGGTAAGCAAAAATCTGGTAAGGCTCATTCCAGTTGCATTTAAATGTTAGTATAATGAGATAGTTTCATTCATTTTCCACTGTCTAATGTAAAAATTAAAATAGAATACACCAGCAAAACATCTGAGAGGATTCTCAGAATCTTTTTTTAACCTACATCACACTATCCTGTTCCAGTCACTTCCATTCTTTATTTTCTTCAGAAGACAGAAAAAGCCAGAACAAATGAAATTAAAATCAAGCAAAGAAAATCACATCTGATACTTAGAGATACATACTCTCTAGTTATGTCTGTGTTGTTCTAATGAAGTATGTTTTTGGTGATGGATGTCTGCATGTTTGAAGTAAGGGTCAGTTTATTTGGAAGGACATGATTTTCTGTAGAGAAAATGCAGTGGTGGGAAGAGTACTGTTCATACCAGTTATCCAATGTCTATTTATGTAGGTTCTAAGGGTGTGGGATCCAAGAACTTGTGCAAAACTAATGAAACTCAAAGGGCACACGGACAATGTAAAAGCTTTGCTGTTGAACAGAGATGGCACCCAGGTATGTGCTTTAGCTTGATACAAAGGCATTTTACAGAAGGCAAAAATGTCTTTGTTCTTTTTCAGTATAATTATTTGTGTCAGAGATGACGGAAGGTAGTTTAACAAGTATTTTACAGACACTTGGTGGTAAAGGGAGGGAGGCTGGTGGGTGAAAGCTCTGGGTTATTACAGGTCCATCTTGGCATAGAGGGGGGTGGTTTTACATAAAATGTCTCAGGTTTGACAACAGTGCTCTTGATTCCCCTCCCACCCAGGTAGGGAAGGAGAGAAAGAAAAAGAGAGCAACTTTACTGGATTGAAAACTAAACTACACAGCTTTAATTAAACACTAATGATAAAAGAAAATATAGACAATTATATACAAATGTGTTCAGGGATGTGCAAAAGCCTCTTGCCTCCCCCCACCCCCAGCAACTCCCACAGCATCTCCTGAGCTGCCAGCAGTCCTGAAAAACCGTGGACTGCTGCTGGAGAAAGCTCAGAGTGATGAGGGTCAGGAGAACTCCAGCCTGGGGGTTGATGGTGATGGATGGACGGAGTCCTCCCCAGACGCTGGCCATGGACAGAAGAGAAGGGAAGAAGAAGCAGGAAGGAAGATGTCTCTAACCTTCCTCTGAGCTTACATAGATATATGGGATGGAATATCTCTGGCCAATTTTACTGTCTAACTCAGCCTCCTACGGGGGTGTCATAGATCTCCCTCTAGTGTCTGAGACGTCAGAGTGAAGGTGCCCCAGCAGTTACAAAAACGTTCCACTGTTATCAGTCTTAGTTGGAACACTGTGGTACTAGTTTAAATAAAGTTTACTGAAGGGAAAAAAAAAAAAATGGTAAAAGGAAAATTGGCTTCATCCTGACTCAAATCAGGACAGTCTGGAAAGTGTGACTGAAGTTGTTAACTGCCAGTCTTCATTTAGTCTTAATGGAGAAAATATAACCATAAGAATGATGAGAGTTTTTAATGGAAAAAAAAATTCAAAATACTTAAATACCTGCTTGATTTAAGTATGATGATGGTTGTTGCTCAGTGTCTTTCAGGCAGCTCTGATGGGACTATCCGGCTGTGGTCCCTTGGGCAGCAGAGATGTATTGCCACATACCGAGTCCATGATGAAGGTGTTTGGGCTCTGCAGGTCAATGAAGCCTTCACTCATGTTTATTCAGGAGGAAGAGACAGGAAGATTTATTGTACAGATTTACGAAATCCTGATATCCGTGTGCTTATCTGTGAAGAAAAGGCACCAGTTCTTAAGGTATTTAATTCAGAGAATCACAGAATGGTTGAGGTCAGAAGGGCCCTTTGGAGATCATCTGGTCCAATATCCCTGAGTAAGGAGGGCCACCGAGAGCTGATAGCCCAGGTCCAGATGGCCTGGTCATTCAAAAGTCCAGATGGCTTTTGAATATCTCTAATGATGGAGACTTCACAGCCTCTCTGGGCAACTTCTTCCAGTGCTGAGTCACTCTCGCAGTATAAAAGTTTCATTGTGTTGCATGTTGTCTAATGAAATACTGGCCTGAGGTAGAAGCCGATAATGTGTTTCCTACACCACATCTTCAGAATATTGGCTTTGTCTCCTAAATCACATCTGAAATTTAATTGTCTGAAGAAGATAAATGCCTGGAAGCTACCTAATATATGTAAATTCAAGTATTACTGAAATTGAATATGCATCAAACATGAAGAGTTGTTTTACCAGACTCTAGGATGGTTTTAAGAGAGGAAGCTGGTATTGCCAAGGCTTTAGACAAAAATGGCTGTTCCTTAGCAGCAATATGTATGCACTGGACAGTTAGAATATGTTGCATACTCATGGGACCCAGGAGTAAAACTTCCTGTGGGATTTTTGAACACCTAAATGTGATGTTTTCTTAACTGGAGAAAACTGCATGCACAAGTCTGAGTCTTCTGAAGAAATGCTTTTGGGAATTTTTTTACTCTCTGTAACTCCAGATGACAAGAGCTTGGAAGCATGGAGGTGTGTGAGTAGTGTGTGACTGAAAGAGATTCCAGCATATAAGCAATCTGTCTTTTTGTGAGTGAACTCTATTGGCTTAATATGTTCAGATAAAATCCCAGTTATATTAATGTAGCATTTCAGTTCAAAATTGAAAAGGAAAGCTGTGGTCAGCTGTACAAAGATCAGAAGAGGTCTTCTAAGATCTTAGCTACAGTGATTCATTGTCATCCAAGAAATGTGACAGCCAAGCCAAATGTAGAAAGTTCTGCTTTTTCAATAGTACAGAATTTCTTATGTTCTTTTTTTAACCGTGTGAAATATTGAATGCAAAGTAATTCAGAAAATATTGTACTTACGAAACTGTCCGTTAGACAAGATTGCATCATGCTAGAAAAACTGTTAGTACTGATGTGGAGGTACATTGCATCTACTATTGCCCATGTCCAGAATTTACTTACTAAATATCTGAAACAATCTCTGTGGAGTTTCAAAATTTGCATTTCAGTTATTTTTCTTTTAAACTTGGTATTTCTTCAGTAAACTGAAAGTAGTGCTGTTTCTGAGATACTTCCAAGTGTGGGAACAGGTCTACTCTGAGGAAATACTAATAAAACAATGGAAAATTAGGTTAAGTGTGCCTGAAAGTATCTTTGGTTTCATTACTTAGATGGAACTTGATAGATCAGCTGATCCTCCTCCAGCTCTTTGGGTTGCAACAACTAAATCCTCTGTGAATAAATGGGTAAGTGATGCATTTTACATTCTGTGAATTAAATGAGGTAGTCATGGCATTTGCAGTCTTGGTTTGGGAACTGTGGGGCTGTTGCTTGCAATCTGACTATGACTTGCTATAATCTGAAAGCTCTCTTTTTAAAAAGTTGTAAAATGCTAATGTTGAAGTTGATCAAAAGACATTAAGATTTGAATGACTTCCTTTGCTCTCTATTTATGCTGCTTTCAGAAATAAATTCACTAATTCAGAAATAAATCTTACTCAGCACTGGACATTTAGCATCTAATTAGCAGTATGAGCTGGCAGTTGTTACAGATAAAGTTTATAGATTATTTTGAATATGTCATTATTTTGTTTCTTTCTTTAGACTTTGAAGGGAATTCATAATTTTAGAGCATCTGGAGATTATGATAATGATTGTACCAATCCTATACCACCCCTATGTACACAGCCTGACCAAGTTATAAAAGGTAAACAGCAGTTTTCCAGAGTCCCTTCTAAAATCTGTTACCATTAGCAGAAATGGTAGATCTTTAAGTCTCCAGTTTTTAGGTGCTTGGTACTGTGATGTCAACCAAAACAAATGGTTATCAACTATCTAGTGTTAGCCACAGTTAAAATAGTTTTTAAACTTTAGTGATCCAAGTCATACATAAAATAGTGAAACCAAAGACCAATCACACATGTTCTTTTGTGCAGTTTAATTTAATGGAATACAAGGGGGGAAAAAAAAGAATTACTGTAGTGACCTTGATTCTTGTTTGTTTGCCAGGTGGTGCTAGTATTATTCAGTGCCACATTCTTAATGACAAGAGACACATATTAACCAAAGACACAAATAATAATGTGGCATACTGGGATGTCTTGAAGGTAAGTATATGGTTTTGGATTAAATATCTGCTGTTGAATGATTAATTCCTGCCTTTCATTATATATTATTTTTAAAGCATGAGATCTGTCACAAGACACAATGCAGATTGCTTTTAGGAAGGGGAGGGGGCATTTCTGAGCTTTTCTGCATCTTTGCCTAACATGAGGCTAGGGATTCATGCTCTTCATGCACTTGAAATCAGACTCTTGAGTTCTCTTCTGAAAATAGTAAGGTTTATTTTGATTGGGTTTTGTTTTGAAGAGGGCTTTTAGAGGCCCATGGGCACGTCTGCCCAGTGCAGGATGTAATAGTATAAGAAGCTTAGCCTGCAAAAGGGAAAGCTGTGCTTCATGTCCTGCTACAAACCCACAGATCCCAAGAGAGTGTGCTGAGTACTAGTCTGTGGAGTAGTGTGAGAGCATGAACTTGCCTCTTCCCTTGTTAGCTGGCAGGAAGGCAGGACTGGAAGAAAAGTTGGTAGAAGGAAGCATGGCTCCCACCTAGAGTAGCTTATTCCTGTGGGAAGAGAGAGACTTGGCATGGCATTTCTTCATCTTGCTTTACCAGTGGTTGGTCAGAGGGAAACAACTGAAGAGAGAAAGGACTGGAATCCTAGATGAGCAAGATGGTCAGTAATTTCTTCTGTGGCAAAAGCCTGTTTGACATTCTAAATCTTTAGTTCATCTTGAGCTGTGCAGTGCTCCAGCCAGGATTCAGGAATGAAGTGAAGCACACTCAGCTAACTTAACTGAGTTGCTGACTGAAGTGACAAAGAACAGAATTTAGTTGGAGGATGTAGTTTTGTACTAAAAATTGTCTCGATGACTTGTGGTAAAGTTGAATAGGTTTTCTTTCTTTTGGTTTGCAATTGGTATATATTTAATTACAACATTAGATGTCTGGAGCTAAGTCAAATGCTATTGTTAATTTGTACTTTCATTCAGTTTTCTTTCTCTTTTGCTAGTAAGGGTTTCAGAAACATCTCTTAGATATATTTAAATACTTGTTCACTTTAGAGATGGGGTTACTTGCCACGTCAAAGTGTCATCTTATGTGTGGGATCACTGCACTCTAAAGCTGAGACTCTTTTTTGAGGATGCTGGAAGAGGGAGGTTTTCTTATCTGTGGCTACACTCTCCAATCTTTGCTTCCTGTAAATTTTCCTGGATTTTGAGGAAATAAGTCTTGCAAGGTTACAATACTTAGACTTTGCTTAAAACACGTGTCTTAGGTGCCAGGATGACTCTGCAAGTGGATTACAAGAATTTGGATGTTAACAGACTGACTTGAGGAATTTCGGAAGTCAAAGTAAAATAGAACAGATAAGCTAAAACAGGAAAAAAGAATCTGCACACAAATTCACTCACTGCTGTTCTCATTGCAATAGCTGAGCTGAATTTGTTTCTAGATCTGCAACAAATGCTGGTGCTTGATAGAGACTTGTACTGAAATGTTGACACTGATGAGGAGAACTTCAGAAATTTGAACCTTTAACTCGTGTGTTTCTGGACTCACAATTTTAAAAATTGTACATTTCTTTTGGTGTGCAGGCATGTAAAGTTGAAGACCTTGGGAAAGTAGATTTTGAAGAAGAAATTAAGAAGAGGTTTAAAATGGTGTATGTGCCAAACTGGTTCTCAGTAGACTTGAAAACTGGGGTGAGACACAGCTCCTAAATCTATTGTTCTAGTGTCACATGTCATGAATTTTCATACCCTGTTTGTTCACGGTTGTTTTAGTGTGCTACAAGTTTTGAAGAATGATCACAATTTATCTGATAGATTAGATTTAATTTGAAGCCAAACAGCAAATTTTACCTCACTTCTTAATAATCTGTGAGACAGATTGTTTAGGTTTTTTTTTCCCTGATGGTATGGTCAGTTTAAATCCACCAATACAAATTTTGAATAGTTTGGTAAACAAAGTGTGCTGTGATGTATTTAGAAATCCTTTGTTTTGTATTCTCAGCTAAGTATGAATAAAATAAATTTATACTTGCTTCATACAAAGTAATTATTGCATTCCTCTTCCTGGTGGTCTTTTTCCAACAGATGTTGACAATTACTTTGGATGAAAGTGACTGCTTTGCAGCCTGGGTTTCAGCAAAGGATGCTGGATTTAGCAGTCCAGATGGTTCTGATCCAAAATGTAAGTTTTAACTAATATTAGTGTCTTATTGAGACAAACAAGCAGAATAAATTCCAGGATCTATGTTTCAAAGTATTTTAGTGCCACATCTGTCAGTAGCTGGCTGGATTTTTGGGTTTATTTTCTTGAGACTAAATTCTGCAGAAAATTCTCCAGTGAGAATATTTACTTTTTTTTTTGGAAACATTTCAGTCCTTTAAGTATTTAACTTGGTTTGAAACCTTCAAGAAGCAAAAGGGGAGAAGCAATAGTCCTAAAGTTGGAACTACATACTTAATCTAGAGAGTGTTACAGCATGTGAGTGATCCAACAGTAATGATTCTAAAATCAGCTTTCTCTGTAAGGTTATAACTTACAGCTCTGTGATCATGATAAACAGATTTCTGTGCCCATAGTATGTTTTGGGAACAGAACTACTCAAACTTGTGGGAAGGTTTTCAGCTGTGGCTCAAACATGGAATATTGTGATGCCAGTGGGTTTTGTGTAACTGAGTTCTACTTTGCTCTGTCTTGACAGTAAATCTTGGGGGGCTTCTGCTACAAGCACTGCTGGAGTATTGGCCTAGAACACATATCAATCCAATGGATGAAGAAGAAAATGAAATCAATCACGGTTAGCATTTTAGTATTTTCCTTTTCAAGGATCTGCTAATACATTCTGTTAGTTTCTACATTTTTAAGAGATAAAATTTTTCTTGCTGTCTTAAAGCTGGCTCTGTAAACTCATGTTTCTTAATGCTTTTAAATTTGCTCCTCAGAATTTGCTGAGTTTTCTTCTTTTGAAAGTGTCAGCAAAAGAACTTAAGAACTCTAGTCCATAAAAAAGGAGATGAGTAGATGAATCTGAATGTAGAGAAATGTGACGCCTTGATGAAAAACAGTTACTGGCAAAACTAAGGCTTGACTTGGAAAAGAAACAGCCTGTAGATAATGACAGCAAAGAGCAATAGTTCAGTTATTCAACATTAGCCAGCATTTTCTTGACATAATTCCAATTTGCTTCTAGGTATTATGAGCAACATAAAATAAAGATTTATTTGAAAAAAATATATTCAGTGGTTATTAGAATAATGCATGAGTGAAGTCTGTACAAAAGCAACTGAAAGAGGGGTCTTTGAAGGTAATGATGTGAAGTCTAATCAGGCAGGACATAAAAAGCACAGCTGTGTGAAATGTAAGATAATGGTTCCGTTTGGCAGAATAAAAGGGACCATGTAACTCCTAAACTGGTGGATTATTTTGAAATTAATTCAACCTAGATGAGGGTTAACTGAAAAGTTTTATCTTTGGGAATTACATTTTACAGATAATGCAATTAAGAAAATTGTAAGTCCAGCAACAGCTTTCCATATTCTGACAAAGATTGAGCCAAGAGTTAGCTGCTTTCTTCTTTCAAAAATGATGTCCATGGAGGGTTCCAGCACTTGGCAGGCTTTTCTGGATCAAGTTGCTGATTCTCATATTTTTAATGTGTTCACAGTCTACAGTTTGAGTGCAGACAATATATGGGAGGTGTAACTCAGGCTTTTGTAGCTTTGGAACATTGTTGCTGCATTTCTTATTGCTGTGAATAATTGTGGATTACTGTAATGGTTAGAATATTTACTGCAAAATCAGTCTTAATTTTCCCTTTCAAAATTACCAGTTGAGAAACTGACACTGAACAGTGACTTAAGAAAATAAAGTGTATCTGTTGGACTTGGAAATTTGTGCAAAGAGAAAAGATCTTAAACATATGTGTGTGTGTGTGGTATTGTAGTGTAATTAGTGTAAATACTGCAGTGTAATCAAGAAAAACTTTGTCAAGAGATAGGAAGGCATCTAAAGACTTCTGTATGGTGTTTCAAGATTTGAGAATTATGACTAGAAGCTGGGCTCTTCAAGAGGTACATAAATAATGCTGATTTTTCTTTAGTTGTACCCTGAGTATCTGACGTGGAATCAGGTTCTTCAGTGTTTGAAGACCATCCTGGTATAACTAGCTAAAATAAAATGAATTTAGAATGTTATAACTTCAAGGAAATGTGAGTCTTACTAGTAAGCTGACTTACTAGTATATTCTTACTAGTAAACTATT